AGGAGAAGCATGGGGAGACTAGGTGAGCCTAGCTTTGGGCATGTTGAGTTGAAAGTTCTTCAATGAATGTGCATGTCCAGCAAGAGGACAACTGTCCCCCCACCCCCACCCCCACCCCCACCCCAGGCCTTACTGTGTGCTAAGTATGTGTTAAATGACTTGCGTGCATTCTCATTTAATTCTCACAAAGGTACATGATAGGGGCCTTGGTTAGCCCTACTGAAAAGATGTGTAAACTGAGGCTTAGAGAAGTAAGTAACTTACCCAGTTTGCCCAAGGTGATTTAGATTTTAGACTCATCCACACAGATGGTAGTTAAACCATGAAAATGTATGAGATCATCTAACAACAACCCGTTTATGGGAAAGGAGGGTTAAGATGAAGGACAGAACTCTGGAGATTATCAATATTTAAGGAGTAAGCTGAAGGGAAGGAACACTCTCTGAAGACCAAGGAGAAGTGATCAGAGAAAGAGAGGACCAGAAGAAATTTCACAAAGCGGGTGCTCACTGTTGTTAATAATTGCAGCGGCATTGAGCAAAATAGGTCTGAGCATATTCAGTGCATTTGCTAATGTGTAGGTCCTGGTATCTTCAGCTAAAGCTGGCTCAGGGGCGGATGCAAAGCCAATGCCCAGTGGTTAGAAGAGCAAAAAAACCTCAGCGGACGTCACTAGGTCCCGACTGAACACAGAGGGTCTCCCAGCCTGTTACAGCATGGACCCGCAGCCAGCTCCCTTCTTGGAAATGTGGTTTTAGTCCTATTTCATTTGATTATTGCAGAACATCAAAATAATTCCATAGGGCTGTTGGATGGAGACAGGGGTGGGTGGAGAGCAGTCACCCATGCACAGGAGAAGCCCTCCTAAAATGCCGCTTATGATTACAAGAACCACAAGTGGACGGGCAAAGGAGAGTTTCCTTTCAAGTCTGACATGAAGCGCCCTCAAAAACGTTACAACAGGGAACCTTGCAGAATCCACCTTGCAGTTCATCCTTTCCCCATTTCCTTGTTAATGAAGACATACTGGATTGTCGACCGTGAGGGAACAGCGTTTCTGCCCCACAGCATGTTAGGTGCACCAGGGTGGTAGTGTCTTGTCTATGTGGCATGGAACCCATGGCCTGTCACATGTGATAATCATGTCAGCTTATTAACATGTGAGATATAACTCCTGGCTTCCACCTCAGAGGGGAAACTGCTTAGGGTGGGGGCATCCTGCTAGCCAGATGGGGCAGAGTTATGCCAGCTTCTGGTGCCAGGGAAACCCTGGACAGTAATCAATACCAAACCTGACTATGAAGAGGACCACCCAAGGGCACGTGGCTGGGAACCAAACCTCCTTCCTACCTTGGTCTGATCTCTTGGCAACTTTCCTCCCTAGCCCCAGCTTTGTTACCACGTCCTTGCAGAGGAATTCACAAACAGGACTTCTTTTAAAGAGGGAAGGGTCATAAGGAAGAGGGTCTGGTTAGTGACATCACCCAAGGCTCCAAATTTTTAAAAAGTACTGATTGGCGGATAAAGTCAAAGCAAATGCCAAGGAAGGCTCTACTCGTGTTTGGAGATTCTGAGTTAGAAATTCTTTCCTTCCCACTCACCCCAAAAGGAAGTCACAAAGCAGTGATTAAGGAACAAAACAGGCCACCATTCTCTGGGGCCTTCTATGTTCCCAGTCCAGGCCTGCAGGGAGGTAAGCATGTGCCCCCGGCGCAGCTTCTTCTGTCCTGACATCTTTCTGCCAGATGGACCTTCTAGAATTCTGGAGGTGCTTGGCCCTCCTGGCTTCTGCAACCTGAGCCCAGAGAAGTGGTCCCACCAACTTTCCTCTCCCTCCACTCCTCCAAGAGCAGGAGGGGGCCTAAGTCCTGGACCAAAGAAGAGGCCAGGGCAGGGACCTTGGCACCCCGAGGAGGAGCTCCCAGCGCCTGAGTACCCGCTAGAGCACCGGGCCAGGTTCAGAGAGAGCCTTCTCTTCTGCTGGCACCCCGCCTGTCTCTATTTACCAGGCGACAGCACCCTCCGCCTGGTCTTGACCCTCCCTATTCATAGGGTTAGCCGGCGGGTTTTAACTACAATCCAGAATCTCAACAATTTACAAATGTTGTGTGAAGACATAATCAGGGTGCCAGATTCAATCTACTAGTAATTGTTAATTAAAAAAAAAAAAGGAAAGAAAAACAAACACAAATAAATCCTGCAGAAACGATCCCTGGAGTTTCAGCTTTCTCGGGGACCCTCCCAGCGCACCCCCCAGCCCACCCTGCCTCACCGACTCCTTGCGGTGATCTCTGGAGGACGCTGGAGCTCAGTCCCTGCAGCTGAGGCCTAGGGGACACCCTGGGAAGGAGACACCTTCTGGAGGGGTTAAGATCTGGCGCTCCAGTTGCTTCCACAGGACTCCCCTTTTCCCCCCAAAGAACTCCGGGCTGGCGAGAGGGGCCCGGACCTAGACCCTGTCCCAACACGGGCTTTTCCCTTTTCCTGGGCCCCCTGGAAGTGTGTCCCCTGGTCTCAGCCTCTGGGCTTGGCGAACACCCTGCCCCTGGCCGCTCGCTCCGGCCCGCAGTCCTCAAAGGCCCCCCCATCCCCGCAAAGGGGCTCCCGGGCTGGATCAGCCCGGCACGGTCGCGGGTATTTGAGCTCTCAGTCGGAGCGAAATTTAGGAAAACTACTGTGCATAGGAATTTATATATCACTTATAGAGATGTTCATGTCTGGCCGACAGTTACGAAGCAGCTGTTGTTTTGTGGAACCGCTGGCATCCTAGGTGGTATTGGTAAGACCGGCCGGTATTGTTACAGGAATGACAAGTGGGTGGTGCCCGGAGCTCCCGGTTCCTCCGGAAAGGCGGCGCAGTATCAGTGGCGGTGCCCGCTTCTGTTTGCAACTGTGCGTCTCCGACCTGAATTCCCTCTCGGTCACCAACCCAGCTGGCGGCACACCCGGGACAGGGCGACTTCCTCGGAAGGGCCATCTCCCCCAAACTAGAAAGGTCGCTGGGTGTCCTGGGGAAGCAGCACACCCCGGGTGTCAGAGGCCCCTGGCTCCTTACCCAGACCTTTGTCACAAAGGGCAGCTCGGTCGGAGTCAGGGACGAAAAGAAACGTTACAATACACTGTGTGGGCGAGGGTAGGGAAAGAGAGAAGCCGGCTAGGGCCTGCTCCGGCCCTGGGGGCAAACCCCGCGGAGGGCGGGGGGGGGCGCCCCTCGGCCTTCCGCCTAGGCTCACCAGCAGGACGCCCCGCGAAAATCTCTCCGCGCGATTAAGACGCGTCCCTTGGAGCCGGTGGCACTGACACGTGCGACGCGCGGCTTAGGCTCCTTGGTGGAAATCCCCGCGGAAGCGCCCCAACCCCGACGCTCCCACTCGGCGCGGGCCCACCGGGTGCGCGTCCGCCTCCCACCAGCATCCCGCTCGCTCGGCCCGCGGCGGCCGACAGATGTTTACGGCTCCGGGTCCCGATCGCTGGGGAGACGCAGCCACGGGCGCACGGCGCGGCGCTGGCGGGGCTCTGGGCTCCCGGTCGGGGGTGCGAGCGGCCCGGGGGAGGGCGAGAGGATGGAAAGAGGAGGGAGGAGTGGGTGGACTAATGATGAAAAAGTCTCCTCCATCCCGGCTCCTTAATTAAATGCATGGAAAGAACCGAGGCGAGCACATCTGGTTTCAATCTGCAGCCCTTTGATGGCATCAAATGTTCTTTTCCCAGATCGGGGCTGGGAGTTCTGGGCTAACTACGGCCGTTTGGAGCCCAGAAACCGTTTACACACACTCGCACCCTTCTTTCTCTTCAGAGCAGCCTCTGGGCTACAGGAGGAAAAGAAAGAAAGAAAGAAAAAAAGTCCAGTAATCAAGGGAGTGAGGGTGTGTGTGTACGTTTAAAGAACATAAAACGCCACAAATAAGCACTTAATATTTTACTTACTCGTCATATAGTAACTCATTTCTAATGAGACTATTAAAGCTGTTACCAAATTCCAACAGGTCATGAAAAAATCGCTCAGCACCTCCCTGTCCTCTGTCAAGTTAGGGCTCAGCAGACAGACGACAGAGCATTATCCGTCGGCTTCGGTGGGGGCTCTCTCCCCTCCCGGCCCCCCCTCCCCTCCCCTCCCCCACGCCCCGAGGCACCCGGCTGGACCGCGCGGTGCAGGAGCCTCGCCCGCCGAGCGCCCAGCCTGCTCCGCCTCTGGGCAGCGCGACCCTCTCGGCTTAGCGTCCCAGCCTGGGGAAGCGACCTTGGCCGCACCAAAAAGGTTACAAAATTGGCCAGATTTGGGGCGGGGGTGGGGTGGGAGGAACAATTATGATAGACTCCTAGAGTCCCTTCCTCGGGCTAAATAAATATGTAAATGTCCTACCGCCCCGGCGGGGGGATTCCTAGCCGCGCGGAGACGCGAAGGGATTCGGCGCCCTCTGGATCGCCCCAATCTGATCTAGTCCGCGGAAGAAGCGTGGGAGAGTCTCGTTATAACCGCTCCTGTGACTTTATTACATTATTTAATAAACTGTCTCTGCAGAGCCGAGCGCAGCCGTCCTATGCTTTGCTTTCTCCCGCGTTCTCTCTCAGACACTCCTCCACCCCCCGTCCCCCCAAAACTTAGAACAGCAGGAAACGTTAAAAAAAAAAAATTTAAAGGCAGAAGGAGAAGAAAATTTGATTGAGATAGTTGTGGATTTTCTCCAACAAGTTTCCCTGCAGCTGTTATCAAAACATGCAAATGAGATTTTCCAACAGGATCTTAAACCAATCTGGAGGAGTTAACGCCAAGGCAAAATAATCTGCCCGTTTGAAGTGACTGTGGGTTTCAGTTTGTCTGTTCTCCCTGTGATACTGTTGCAGGGGAATGATAATTAGACCTTTACTTGGAAAATCCAAAGGCGCTCTCTGCTTTCTCTTCCCTCCCTCTTTGCTCCCTCCTCCCTCTCTCCCTCTCTCGCTCCCTCCCTCTCTCTTTCTCTCTCGCTCAGATGTTGGCAAAGGGGTTTTTCTTAATCAGACTGTTTTTCGGTCCGAGGGAAAGGAGGAAGAAGGAGATTGTGATGGGGAAAGGGGGTCTGTAAATCGTCAGGCACGGCACAAAGGCTTTGCCACGTAATTACAGGCTCCTATTAAGTCGAGATCTGCCCTCCCTGGGGTCTCCAATTTTCTTGTATTCCCTACAAAGCGTCCTCTGCATGCCAGTTTGTGCCTTTTGAAGTGCCAGAGAGCTTCTTGATCCAACTGAGAAGGAAAAGGAGCTGGGCAAGAAGAGGGGGAGAGAGAGCAGGGAAGGGAAAGGGGGGAACCCTCCACCACCCTCCTTCGGACTCTTCAAGCCCTTTTTTTTTTTTTCCTTCCTCCCAACGAAAAGTAAAGTGAGAATCCTGCTCTCCAATACATCTGCAAGACATCACCCTCTCCTCCTGAAACTTTAGTCACTCCTGAGAATCCACAGGAGTGCGGAGAGGGGAACACGTTTTCTTGAAGATGTTTTGAAGCTGGAACAAGCCTTCTTCTGTTGGTGCTTGAACTCTTGCCTGGGAATAACTTTTTTAACCTTAAAAAAACCCACTTTGATTCTTCTCTCCCACCCCTTCTCCTCTCTTCTTGTGTTTGCCTAACTCCCCCGCCCTGCTGGCCTCCCCTCTCATCTCTCCCCCTGACTATTATTTTTAGTGTGTGCGTGTGGACGCTTTTGGGGAGAGAGGTGGAAGAGATTTTTTTTTTTCTTCTGACTTGAACATAGGGTGGTTTTTTTATTTTATTTTTTGGTGTGGATTATCTCTTTGGATCGCGCCGGACTTGGCCTCAGGAAAGCAAGCGGGGCTGTCAAAGGCTGTGGGAGAACGCTCTGCTCTGCACAAGGGGGTCCCCCCCCCGCCCTCTTTCCACTTTTTTTTGTCCTTCCCCTCCTTCTTCTCTCTCTCTCTCCCTCTCCCTCTCTCCACTCCCCCCTCTCTCTTCCCCACTCGGCTCCTCTCCCCCCTCGCGCCCACAGCGTTTGGTGTTGATTCGAGCGGGAAGAGGGGGGTGGGTGGGATCGGAGGGGGAGACCATGACCTCCAGCTACGGGCACGTTCTGGAGCGGCAACCGGCGCTGGGCGGCCGCTTGGACAGCCCGGGCAACCTCGACACTCTGCAGGCGAAAAAGAACTTCTCCGTCAGTCACCTGCTAGACCTGGAGGAAGCCGGGGACATGGTGGCGGCGCAGGCGGACGAGAGCGTGGGCGAGGCGGGCCGGAGCCTGCTGGAGTCGCCGGGACTCACCAGCGGCAGCGACACCCCGCAGCAGGACAGTGAGTGAGGGGCGCGTGCCCCCGGGACGGTGACCGGGACCGCGGGCGGGGGGCCGGGCCGGGCCGGGCCGGGGAGGAGGTAGGGGACGCGGAGGAGCGATGGCAGTGGTCGGAGGAAGGGCCTGTCACCGAGGCGAAGGGGAGAGGAGAGGCGGCTCCGCGGAGGGCGTCGCCGGGCGGACGCTGGGGGGAGACTCCGAGGCCCTGCGGTCCGGGTCAGGGACGCTGCCGCCGCGGACTGTCGCGGAGGCCGCCTGGGCTGTCCCTCCGCCCCGGGAGAGCGGCGCCAGCTCTCCCACAGACAGGAGGCAGGGCTGGGGAGGGCTTTACAGGGTGCAGACTCGGGGAGCCCGCCCTGTTTGGGGAAGGCAGCGGGTTAGAGAAGCCGAGCGAGGGCGGGCGTGCGGCGTCTGGGCACAGGGGGCAGAGGAGGCGACGGCGCCGCGCACAGGGAGCGAGACCCACGCGCCTTCGCTGGTGCAGGGCGCGTGGGCTCCCGAGGCCTGGCGCGCGCCGCATGGGCTGTGCCGGAGCGCCCGGCCGGCCTCCGGGGCTGCCCTCTGCCCCCTGCTGTTGCCTCCGCCTGCAGACGGGTTGGGGACCCTGACAGAGTCCAAGGCCTGAAAGGTTCCAGTGGGTGAATCCCAGCTCCTGACATTCATGATCCCACACGAGATGCGCAGGGCAAGCGTGGGTTCCAATGCGGAGCCGGTGTCACTTGGGAGGAGCCCTCCCTTTTGGCATCAAAACCTCCGGAAAACTCCACACACGATCTCCCTTCCCCATCCTCCCTGACTGGTCGCATGCCCCCCAGGGACTGTCGCCTAGCTTTATTAACCTTGCCTTAAAAACGTGACTCCAAGTGTATATACGCGTCCCGAGTCTGCAACAGACCTGTCACCTAGCTCATCCCAGGTGACAGGGGTCTGCAAGAGCCTGAACTTGGCTGGAAGTTTTAAAATGAGATTGGTCTCTTTCCCTGTTGCTCTTTGCCGAGTGCTATTTTGTGTTCAAATTTGGAACGTGTGGAACCAGGCGTTCTGTGATTTCCAGAAAACACAGACAAAGTTTCGGGACCCAGAAACAGCTGGAAGCAAGGCCTGGCCCAGTGGTCCCCACCCTCCCCACCCCCCAGCGCAAAGCAGGCTGCAGGAGGAGCCCACTCCCTCGCAGGTAGCCTGCTCCCCTTGGTCCAGGCCTGGGCTCCCCTCCGGGTATTTTAGCTAAAATTGAACTGGGACCTATTCACCCTATGTACTTGCACAGGCAGAGGGCGTCGGGTGTCTGGCCTGGCCTGTCACTGAGGCAAGATGGCCACCTCTGAGGAATGAAGGCCCGGTGTCCCCAGGTGTCAGTGAGAGCTGGGCACGGAGGCAGGGGCGTCCTTTGCGGGGTCCTGGTGCGGGGGCTGCTCCGGCTGCACCCCCTGGCAGCGTCAACAGTTTGCGTCAACACTTTTAGCGCCAAGAAAATGCACCGTGAAGTAATATCATTCTCTTGAAAGGATGTACCAGGGAAAAGGTAAATACACAAACAGTAGGGAGAATATAGTATTCCGCATTTCCACGTGCCTGGCACCCGGCGTCATTGATTCCGCACATTCTACCCTTGTTTCCCCGCGGCTAAGGATCAATAGCAACAGTTACCACTATTAGGAGCCCTGGAGGCTGGGCCCACCACAGAGACCGGAGCGGTGAAGGAACTGCTGCAGAGAAAAGCCGGGTGGGGAGGGAGCGCCTAGCCCCAAGAGCGAGCAGAGGGCGTGCACAGCAGGCCCATGCCCCTGGCCAGCACTGCCGGGCGCAGGGCACTACAGGGCTGGAGGGATGAGGGCCATTCCCCTGGTTTGGCTTCCAGTGGATACCTTGAGAATGGAGCTTGGGTTCCTGGTGGCCTTCCAGCGGGTAGGGAGCAGCGCTGGGCCGAGCAGGCCAGCTGGGAAGTGCCCCCAAGCTGAGGCAGAGGCGGTAGGCACTGTGGGGAGGCGACCAGGGACAGCTCAGGAGACCTAGGCCTGGCACAACCCAGATTTCGCTGCATGCGTGGCATCTGCGGGGTGCGCGAGGACACACAAAGGGCAGGAGGCAGAACTGGGGGACCTTGTGTCTGGAGGGAAAGGGATGAGAACTGTGGGAACCTGCCCGCTTGGTAATTGAGCGCATCTCAGTTTCACGGAGTAACAGGCCCGGAGGAGAGTGAACCCTGAAAGGAAACGAAGGTTCGCGGGCCAGACAGGGAGAGGACACTGAGGAAGGGTGGTCCAAGGAGGTCGCAGAGTGCAGAGCGAGGTGTCAGGGACATAATGACTGTTACCTGGGGCTGGGAAGGTAGCGGAGAACACACACACACACACACACATGACAGGCCTCAGTTTCCAGAGATGGAAAGGGGCCTATTCTAACAAATAGTTGTTGCTTTTAGAAATAATGTTCCTCGTCCTCCTTCCTCATCTCTGGAATGGAGAACTGGAGGGTCTGGTGAGTTGGGTGACAGCAAGGGTCCAGGAGGACCCTGTGCTCGGTTCTTCGGCCTCCATCAGGAGTTGCCCAGGAAGTTGTTGTGGGCGACCTGGAAGCCAGCTCTGGCTAGGCCTCCAGTCCGCTGGGGACAGTGAATCAGAGTCTCCAGGCAGAGGACTAGAGCTGGGCTCTGAGCCTCCCGGGGCAGAGGCATCGCCGGGAGGCAGGCGCTCTGTGCAGCCTGCTGGGCGTCTGCTCGAGTGGGAAATGGAGATGATCCCCCTCGCAGAGATGGTGGACCTCACCAGACACCTTTTCCTCTTCCAGCTATATGAAAACAGGTCCTTCCTACATTTTTCTTGGGGCTGAAATTAGCATAAGACTCCATTTACACTTGCAAATTTAGATCATTAATGGTGCAAATTGTCGAATTACAACCTGGGCCAACCTTGGCCAAGAGGGGCTAAGTATCCCGTCCAAAGTGAGGGCTTCCGCTGATCTCCGGTACCCCCACTCCCTAAAATTCTGTTCCCGGGTTGGTTGAGCTTCGCTCTACTTCTCTGCAGAACGACCTTTTCCCTCCACCACTGATTCTCCCAGCCCGTAAATTTCTCAAACTTCTAGGTTCAAATACCTTAAGGCTTTAAAGAAACGGTTCTTTAACGCTGTTAGGAATGCAGTGGCTGCTGGGGGAGTGTGGAGTGTGAAGGGGGGGGGGTGTTAGATCGGGGGGCAGTCAGGGAAAGGAAAGAGGACCAGGTCATAAAACAGGCAGACCTACTCCTAGGCGGAGGGTGCATCCCTCTGTCATTTCTTAATCTGAACTTCTGCAAACTCTTAAAAAAAAAAAAAAAAAAAAAAAGCCTTCCTTCCACGTTCCCAGCCTCTAAATTAGTGAAACCAGATTGTCCTAATAAGACCTTTTGTTGGAAACACATGTAGTCATAAAAAGGTAGACGGAAAGTCAATTAGACACGCGCGCGCGCACGCACACACTCACAAGCCGGCGCTAAGCGTGCACCGAGCGGGCGCAGCTGGGGCCCGGCCGGGGCGGGTGCAAATGCAGCGCTGAGGCCCGGGAAATTGATTTGTCACAAAGGGAGAGGTGTGAACTCGGCGCAGAGGACTTGCCCGCCGGGCCCCCCCTCCCCCTCCACACACCCCGCGGCCCACCTCCGCCGACTACTCCTCGCGAGATAAACGCCCCAGGAAGCGGGAACGTTCTGGAGGCGCCCGGCCGCTGGAATTCGATCAGACTGTCAATTTCCCTGGAGGCCCAGCGCTTGCCACATCTATGGCGCCAGGGGTGTTCTTGTGGGGTACCACCCTGGGACCCTGGAGCGGGTGCTGGCGCTCTGAATTTGGGCCTCAACTATCTCAACCCAAGGGGGGAGTCAAGAAAATACATTGTTGTAAGGGTAGCCTGGAAAAAAAATTCTCCTTAGAGGGGCAGTGACATCCAGGATCAAGGGGGCGTCACTGAGTCCCCAAAGACCAAAGTCAAGTTCAGAGAAGAGGTGGTGAATCTGTGTATCTGACAGGCAGGGGCAGGGGACGAACGGCCTCCTTCTCTTAATTAATTTCGGAGAAACGGACAGTCTAGTGACTGCCGCTACTCTGGAGCCAGGGACCGCTTGGAGTTTGCAGGGTCGGGAAGAGGGGCCTGGAGAGTCGGAGGCCCCCGGCTGCAGCATTCCCTGCCCCAGAGCCCGCAGCACTGCGTCCACGCGCATTTCTCCGCCGAGGCCCTTTGGCAACAAAACTCCGAGCGCCTTTCCCGCAGGAGCAGCCAGCTTTGTGGCTCGGCCACGCAGCCTTCCCCTGCGTGTTCGCATCGGAGCCTCGTGGCGTCCGCGGGCAGCGGTGGGTCACACGGGTCCCTGCAGTTTCTTCATCTTCCCAGGGCCTCGCTTTAGATTTTACAACCCGAGTGAATAAATCATCTCCAAACCAACAAGATGTCACCCACCACTCCACCCCCCACCTCGTGCGAAGCCCCCCTCCCCGCCCCCCCAGCAACTTCAGAAACAGCTCTTCCGACCCCGCACTGGCTCAGCTCCGACTTTCTGAGCGTCGTTCCCGGCCTGCAGCCACCTCGGGACGCCTTTTCACATTTCAGCGGCTTCGGTGGGTTTTCCACCAGGAGGATCCCTGGACCCATTTGATTCATACTTTAAAAGACATTGTTTCTTTTACAATTCCTCCCCTCCTGTAGCAGGGCACCCCGTCAAAGCAGACCCCAGCTCCCGGAGAACCTTCTGCACCGCAGACGCGCGGCCGCGGGTAGGGCCAGTCTGTGCTCACCGCCACCCCGCCTGCCTCCCGCTCGGCCGAGGCTTCGCAACATACATTGTTTCTTTTTGACCCTTTCGGGGAGATGGAGTCCGCAGAGGAAACTTTCAGAAATAGAGGCAGTCTGTTTGGAGAGAAGGCGAGAAGGCTTGCGTTTTGTCCCCCCAGTGGGTGGAAGAGTGTTTTGGGAAAGAATCTCCCCGAAGAAAAAGTGAACCGGGTCTCGGCATCCTCCACCCAAACCATTAG